AATGAAAATGATGCCATATTCTCTGTAATAATACTTTAGTATGGTGAAAGCTTTACAGCGACTATCATGATTAAGAGGCAAAAATGTAACACCAAGGGTATTGAAGGAAATGAAGATTTCTAAATTTGCGACTTTGAGTTTGAGAAAATACAACTAGCAACGAAGACACAAAACAGAAGGAAAATGACAACGATAAAAATAAAACAATAATCGCTCATACAACTTGACAAGACCAGTATCGCTACTAGAATAACATAACATATAGGCTGTAATGAAAATAGCCACACAAGAAAAACTAAGTCGTAAATTTTTGTCAGAATGACCATAAATTGAACCACAGCTTTTCATCTCTTTCAAAAACACCTTATTTCCCAAATGATTCTTGCAACCTGAAGCAAATATTTCTCGCAATAAACCTTTAGCGGGGACTGAACGAAAACTAATTTATGGCCGCAAGCGCCAATATAATACCTATTTGAATCCAAGGAAAATAAGAAATTTCTTGCCCTAACCTTTTACATTGGGGGCGTCATTTTGCAAATGAGAAAAAGTTATTCGATGCTTCCTGTATCCAAGGGAATCAACACAAGGGCAGTCGTAAAAAAATTGACAAACCCCCGAAACGACTGAAGAATAAGATAAAGCGAGCTATGTGTATCCGTCGGGGCTTGCTTACTACCCGACGTGAAACGTTATCCGCAAATAGCCGTCCGATTCCAGCGCGGCCTAGCCGTAATCTGGTGTTACTCGACAGCTTTGTGATAATTAGCTGAAATCAATACCCCCGTCGTACCCTCGTGTCCTCTCTGACTTCTCATAACTTCAAGGCGTAATTTAGTTCAGCCAGGCTTTTCGCGTAAATCACCTTTTCCACACGTCACGGGCAGAACATTTTAACCTTTCCATCTCGAAGACAAGCAAGACCTTTTTGCCCTTCTTAACGCGACCTATGTTTTTCCTTTTAACTTTAAGACGATATCATGAGTCTTCATAGCATACTAACATTTTTTCTTTTCTGCCCTTTCAAATTGATTTAATTACATAATGGAATAAATGACGTTTCTTTCTTTAACATCCAAAATGTTCTAGTTAAATTTATAAGTGAAGTCTTTCGAATACAGAACTATAACTTAATTTGATAGTGAGCTTGCATTTTCTACAAACATTTCTGATATCGAAGGCATTTTCTATCATTTGTTTATTTGGGGCTTAAATTTTACGATAAGCATACAATAGTATACGAAGAACACAAAATGCAAGCGAATTCAGCTTGAAGACTTTCATACAGTATCATCATTGTTCTAAAGAGTTATACATTACTAATACTGATCACGTGACACGGACGGGTTGTCTTGATTGGTTGATTGGGGATGAGTCACAAATGCATGCGTAAACAAGAGAGAGGTACAGAGTTTGGAACTGAAGCAAGTCAGTCTTTCATCTTTGTGGAATGTGAAACAATTTCGATGGTGAAAGGAATGGAATAGTGTGAAAAACATAATAGAAGAGGAGATACAATGCGGCATCCAATCCGAAGAATGGCATAGCGCCAAAATTATTGCTAGTATTTTCCGCCGGCGTAAGATCGTACCCGCCTCATCCCCTCTCAAGCTCCCACAATAATGTGAACGCCCCCTCAGCAAACGCATGTGTGAATGGTCCCTTTTATAATGACGTTTTCATCGCCCTGAAGTCAGACAAAGCGAAGAAACTGTTGCCATTTTTTAATTATTGCCTATTATAGGCCTAAATAAGTTTAGCCAAAAAGTTGAGCATTCAAGGAACTTCAATCATGAAAATAATGAAGATTATATTTGATTAAAAAAGGGTACTGTAATGGAATGCCCATAGCAGTTGTTTCCAAGTTAAAAGAAAAACAAATTTCATCTGAACAGTGGCAACTTTTACTCGTAACTTAGGTTCAAATGGAATAAAGTGACCAATCGTGAAATCTTTTTCGCACATTAATTTGCTTCAAACATATTTGTATGTATTTCAAATTGTCATTTGATCAGAATTAAAACTGTAAAGACAATACATTGCCGATTTCTTCTAACATTATTCAAAATTCAAAATCAGAGTTGAATATTAAATCAACAGCCGCAAAATAAAGCAGTATCAGTTTCCTCCCACCGATTTGATGGCAGAGATAAATCCTTTCCAATTCGGGGTAATAAAATCTGTTTGCCAGTTCCAATATCCGAAATGAATGTCTAAATGGGTTCCGAACCCTGCGCTCGAGTGGAAAATGTCGTCATAATTTGAATTGATTAAGTTTGTTATTGTCAGTTACGGATATCCCCAAAATGCATCTCCCAGACAAGCGTTTTCCCGCAATTTCTTCGATTCTACTCTGATCGTCTGCATGAAAGGAATCCATTAAACCGGTCCATGTGGCCAGCCTAATAACGTAAACCAATGCACGCTTCGTCTCCACGGAACATCCATCTTCATCATTCACTTATTCTGGTAATGTTCGCACAAACTTTCCAGGCGAGCGTTTCGTAAACAAAACTACATTTCACCAATTTAAACGGTCCGTGCGCCATTTGGCTTTAATGCCTTGTGCATATCAATATATATGGCGTCGTCATTGCCTCTACCGTTGCCCTTCATGCGTGCGTTTTCCCTAGAGCGTACACGATTACTGAGTGTTGTATAACTTTATCAAGGAATGTAATTCCACTTCAAGTTTCGAACCAAACTTTGAAGCCCTGAATTTAGTGATTTTAGAAGTGTCGTGGTCTAGTGGATAAGTCTCCGGACTGTGGATCACCTGGTTCTTGGTTCAAGTCTCGCCACGACATTGACGTCCTTTAGTGAGACATTTATCTAGCTTTGTCCCACTCTACCCAGGTGAGATAAATGGATGCCGGGCAGGATTTAATTCCTTGAAAAGCTATAGAGCGCCATTAGGGCAGCCATGCTAAAGACCGGGTAATAACCGTGGAGCGCCAGGAGTGTCAAGTTTGACAAACATGAGTGATATACAAGAACACACTTTTATTATTGTTATTATTATTATCGTCCAAAATTATCAAATATTGTAACACAAATATATACTGCTGCAATGAATCGGAATTACACCATGTTTGGCGTTGTTTGCTCGTCGGCAAATTGTGTAAGACAAGTAGTTACCAGAAAGCTCTTTTTAACTCAGTGGAAAAAGTAAGCACTGACTGTTATTTTGTACGCCATTGAAATAGTTATTCTTACATTATTCATCTTAATGCTATCAAACCAGAAAATGACAATCTGCACTTTGACATTACAAACACTTCACACCACTCTCCACAAACAATATTGCAAAATGAAATAACCATGAAAACATCTATACGAAAGATGAATGTACTGCGACTCCTATCTGCATAGCTTTCACGAAAGTTAAAGAGACAGAGGAATTGATCCAAATTAACAGTGATTCGACTTGACAAGGTGACCAAACATCGCGAGAGAAACAAAACAATTCAAGTAACAATAGAAGTACTCGATTGAGCTAAAGGTATTTTATATACTTCAAAGTAAAGGAGAAACAAAATCGGTGAACTTAAAGATCGGTATATGCGAGTCCCTCTGTCCCATTTAGTCCTTCGTGTCTCGAGGAAACACATTGTCAGACAAATTGTCAGAAACGAAATAGAGAGTATGTATGTACATGTGAGGTTTTGATTACAGAATATGCAATCTATGTACACTTTAACAACCAATGAACTATCATCTAACTTTCAGAAAATAGTGTGCATCTCAACTGAGCATTGCGTTTACACACGAGAATATATCTTAAGGATTACATGGAGCTCCAGAAGATATAAACATTCAAGTTCGGTCTTCAATGTTCAGAAAAATATATTTCGAAATCTTTGGAGTGTTCGCATAAGGTATTGTCAAAACATGTACAAAATACAGTTGATGGAATTGTTTTGACGTGACTCCAATACTTGTCTTGCAGTTGTAGTGTCTTGATAAACAACTTGTAGCAGAAAATATCCTTCAATTCTTATCGAGTTCATGAGGCGGCTATTCATAAAAGAATGATCAGAGGAAAGGTCATGATTGCTTCGAAAATTCCAGGGATTGGCTCATCATTGACGAAGCAACGCACGAGATGTGATTTCTTTTTTGCTCTCCACTCTTTTTTCTTCGAGATGTATACTACACGTAAACGTGTTAATGAGGAACCAGCAGTCCAAGGTGTTACCAATTTGATGTACCCTGCTATTAACGCAGTAGTACGCCATCTTCGGTAGGTTTGTGACTATCACTTGTTGAATAACCCTGGTTTGGATCAATACTTTAACTTGCGTGTGATCTTGACAAATCCTCAATGCGATCGCGTGTATCCTTAGAAATTTTTAAGGAATAGCCACTTGAACAGTTATCGGGCTATCAGATTTGTAGTGCTTTTGGGTGCAGGTGTGTATGGGTTTCGGTGAGGTTCTTTCATATTTTGCGACCTTGCATCATCGCTTGCTTCACTTTACCGTGGCAGTGGTATGTTCCCTCACGTAGTTTGTGAAACGAAAGTAGTATGTTAAATGAAGGAGAGGATATTTCAGAAGCATCGCATAGGCCCATGAAACAGGTCTTGCACATCATCCTCAGCTGCTTACTATGCGCAGACAATAACTATTCTCTAGACGGGAACTGCATCCGCTGAAGATCCAGTCTCGTCCATCTCAAACCGGTTAAGAGCAGTTCGAATGACGATCCTTTACGCGACATTTGGCAGACGGTTTGTTGTCAACATACACTACTTGTGTTTGCGTCAAAGGAGCATTGATTTCATGACAAGGTTTTCTTTGGGGGTCCTGTTTGTTTAAACGTCAGACGATCTACATTGTCTAATTGGTTTTGCTTGAGTGTTATCTTTTCTTTGTAATGAAGGAAACCCGAAACAGGTACAGTGTAACATTTCAGAGTGTTCCTTAAATACCATGCTCCACCAGTAGAATACATATCACAAGGTGCCACATCCAATTATTCCGACGACTGAGAAAATTTCATATTTCTACTTTGAGCTGTTCTTCTAGCTCGTCATTGAGATCATCGGTGCCGAGAAGTTGGGCAGCTGCGGCACTTGCTGCCTCAGTGGTCGGCTGTTCGTCTAGTAAGAAGTCTATATCATTGTTGTTATCTCCGATGATTTGCAACGCGCGTGTGATGTCGATCCCGTGTTCAGTGGATAAACGATCAAGGTCTGCTTTGAGTCCTACTACCATGTCAGACAGTGCTAAAATATAATTCTTGGCTAGAGTCAGAGTCTCGATTTTGGACAGTTTCCGTTCCGCGCGTACGTGCGGAATGATATTGCGCAGGTTCTGGAAGGCATCGTTAAGTGTGTGCATGCGCATGCGTTCTCGCTCGTTGCTCTCTAATCGACGACTGTTCCTTTCACGCGCGCTGACTCCTTTCCGCCGCCGGGTTCCGCTACCGCTTTTCCGACCGCCTTTTGACCGCTTTGCACCAGATTCTTCCATGAGGGACCCGGTCGAAGATTCACATTCGCCTGATCCGTCGTTGGACCCGTCCTCTGTGGAGTTAGTCCGACTTAATTGTCGTTTCTGTCCTCGGCGTTTTTTCGAGCTCGATTTATTGCTTGGCATCCCGGCAGACTCTGCGCACCATGCTTCGACGCTCGGCGGCGAATGGTCGTCGACGTCGAACTGGCTCCAAGACATCGTCCCTTTCATCTGTGTATACGTTCTCACCAACAAAGTTGAGTGTAAATTACAAGTTTCGCGACTGTAGGGTGAAAAGGGGCTTACAGTATTCAACAGATAACCGCCAGCAGGATGTATGTGGTTGAGTCAGCAAGCATGAAAAGTTCCTTAATCAAGCGTGCTGGTGTATCCGGCGATAGTCCATTCGGTGAATAACCTCTATGGTATCCTCAATTTGATAAACACTGAAACGAGAAGAAGCAGAAAAACAAATATGAGCCGCTTCGTAAAAACACATTATGAGAATGCAATTACCGTATATTTCATTCAAATGAAGATGAATAAATGCAATCAAACATTTGACGCATTTAGTTTCGTAAAATTGACAGAAGTTTCCATTGCTTGAAAGTAAAAAGAAATAGTCGAAGATATCTATGTGAACTGAAAGTGATAATTAGATCAAATTATCACCCTTGAAGTGTCACGTGGTCATTACAAAGATAATTCAATCCAAATTCGTTATGGGTAATGCACGTAAGAAATATTTCGCTGCATCCCATTATGTATACACCATTGATCCCTTGCCACTCTTCTTGGCATTGATTTTTCCTTGAGTATTTACGGATATTTCATCCTTATATCATGAACAAAAAGGGATTGACAAGGATTATTTTAAATGGGATAGAAAGCGTTTATTTATGTAATGTTCTTCTTTGCCTATCTCTTCCTCCTTTCCACTTTTATCCTTCGTGTCCCCTCCGTCCTCTCTCTGATATGCCATTTGATTAGGGGGAGCACTCCCCCGACCCCCGTGTCTCTTCCTACAGTTTATTCTACAGAACTGCCCTTTATCCCTTCTAGCAATCCAAATAATATTCCTATTTTATTTCTACCACAACTTCTCCCCCTTGTATGCAAAAATCCACTTGTTGCATAGCCCTGCCTCCCTTGCTGTGTGCTGAATACATTATGGATTATTCATAAAGCATCATATTGTCGACTAGATCTTGGCAGAGAAAACTAAGCAAACACTGTATGCGATACATTGGGTGTGCAAACATTGAAAAGGTTGTCATTATTGATAGCGTGAGAGATGCAACACATGGTAAAGAAACGGAAACACAGCTTCAAATATTCGCCATCAGTCAGGAAGCCATGGTGTTTGAAAGAAACGATACTGTACATTGATAGGTAGTTAATGAAATGTGTTAGATCCATCACAAACACTTGGCCCTTTCGATTTCAGGTTCTTAATTAGAAATTGCATTTGCTTAGATCATCGAGCGAAATGGCATTTTTTCTTCCCATTTTACTAAAACGAAACATATTTATATGATCTGCTATACATCATATCCACACAACTAGTCGATGGGAGTGGAATATTACACAGATCAATACAGATGATTGTAATTTTAACCATGGTTAACAAGGCACAATACAACACAACGTAAAAAAATATTCGATCGTGTACACGCTCCCGAGAAAGGCGTAAGGATACGTCAAAACTTGTATCATTAAACATGATTGGCTAAAAATGCATTACAAACCTCACTTTCGAATTATCATTTATATATTTCAGGGAGGTGAGATCCCTGTTTATATATATTTGTGTGTGAGGGTGCGTGTTTCCAACCACGTTATGAAATCGAGCAATTTCCATTCGACACGTGTTCCCATATTTCTAACAGGACAATCCGGTACCCTACGATTCAGTGATTCATGTCCAGTTCGCCATTAGTTTAATTGGAGTCACGAATTCCTGATCGGGCTGATATAGTGAATAATTACCGAGATAAATAGTAATGACTAATGCCGATTAGATAGGGAGACATCCAGCTAACCATGTTATAGGGATCAAAGGGTGCCGACAAAATTGAGGTTGATACGAAGAAAACTGGTCAATTGTTAATGAGATATTAATTCCTGTAGTTTGACCATAAATAGGGCGACGGAGCGGGTGGGAAATTTAAATAAACGAGAAAAAGGCAAATAGTATTGACGTAAATAGTATAAAGGCAATCAGGTACATGTTACTCGGTACTCATTTCTGTGCACGATGCATATATTTTCATCAATATCAAGTTAATTCACTAACAATTTGATGATTCCAAAACCTCATCAGCATACACCAGTTCTCTTCGTACTCCATTATCACCACTATCCGTTCTCTAGTTCTGTCCCGTTTAGACCTCCAGTGACCCATTCCGTCTTACATGCAACATCACACGGAAACTAGCTGGAGATAGGACTTTCACTATCACTGCATCTGAATATTGGAATAGGCTACCTTTAATACTTAGGCAATCACCACCTGTCTCTTCATTCAAAAAGGGACTTTCCTTTTTTGTAATCCAGATTTTTGGGATTCTGTATGTTTTTCATTATCATATTTTGTAGAATTCTTCTTGCTGTAAGCGCTTTGGGTCGCTTTGGAAAAATCGCAGTATATTAAAATAATAATAACAGTAATACTAATTATCAACCTTTCCAAATTACTTCTAAGCAGAACTTTTCACAATCTCATAGCATTGCCTGAACTCAAATGTTTAGCTTTAAAATGTTCAAGATAGAAAAGGGTAGAGTGTTTTGCTTCCACTATGCATACTGGATTCCGTCAGCCCATTACAGCCTGACTGCGCTGATCGATGCATTGGAGCGCATGTTCCATATTATGACTCGATTTATCATTGATGACGCTTCGGGTATTGCTAGATCAGGAAGAAGGGAAACAAAATCACATTCAGCACATTAAGGCAGGGTTACTGACACGATAAGAAGACTTTAGAAGATGGCCTTGGGTTCCAATAGGCAATAGCTAGGTATTCACGAGTGGGATGGTGATGAGCCGATGAAAAGAATCCGTGTGACGTTAGAGGTTTCCAAACTTAAAGTCAGGGATCTGACCAATTAAGGCATTAGAATTCTCACAAAATCTCTCAGAGTCCCACAAAATGTAAGCGTAATGTAAGTATGTAAAAGGGAAGAAGAAGAAAAGATAAATAGTGATAATTACCCCCCCCCCCCTAAAAAAAATACTCCAATTACAATCAGATACGCATCAGGGCATCAGATGTTTTGAGACTGCCATACAATGTGTTGTCCCACATGCACGTATTCACGTTGGCGATTCTCAGTGTTCTTAGCCATTAGTTCCGATATCTAAATTAAGTTAATACATACATGATAATATGAAGACTTTCACGGGATCAATAAATGCTGGATAACTTTGAAAATTATTTTATAAACACGACTAACGTCATGTAGAAAGATAATCTTGTTTGCGACTGACCTTCATAAAAAAAAGGTCTCTACATCTCCTCCTCTCTCTCTAATTTTCCCCATTTTCTCCAATCCTCAAATCTTTTCTTCCCCTCTCCCTCTCTCTCTCTCGCTGTTATGATCTACTTATACTTTCTTTCTTTTCTCATTTTTATTTTTTTTCCTCTTTTCCGTTCGTCTGTATGCACAGAATTGGCACCAAATAGTTGTAACCCCATTTTCCGTTTTTCACCAACGGCTTCAGGTTACAAAAACAACCGAATATATCTCTCAAATTTGAAAGACTCAATTTCTTCTCTTTTTGTTGTGGCAATTTTTGGCCAAGTAAATGAAGATGGCTTGCGTAATGTGATACGCGAGGATACCGGGTGGACACGACTAAAAATAGGGGAAGTCAGGTAGAAACACGGCCGAAATTAGAGCATGGTTGGCGATTGAAGCAAGCCACGGAGCTTGGTGACAGCCGAGTGTAGTGCATTGATCAGAAGGAAACGGCAGCTATCGTGTTTCATTTTTCACCCTCCCGAGTCCATTTCCCTCCGGGGTGGGCATCGATTGGTCCAAGGCACTTTACCACACATTATTCACCTAAATCCGGCTGCAGCTGTTTTCATAAACACGGTGGGGATTATTTTCCTATTCCAAAGAGGTTTTAATCGCTCATTTTTCAATTTTTTTTCTTCAAAACTTGGAGGATAATTATGTGCTTCAAAGGGGGAAGGAGAAGTTTGCTGTCAGCATGGTCAGTGACGACAGTATTGCAAATTATTTTCCTGCTTTCCTCAAGGGACGGGTTTTTTTTTATTATCCCGTATTAGAACTGCAAGATTGTTTATAACGCGGCTCAAAATTGATATTACTTAAATTATCTTCTTGTAATTATTTAAACATTAAGTAAAGTCTTACTGAAATTGAAGTTGGCATTGCCCTTTTTTCTCTATGGTTGCTTGTTACATTATTCTGAGTCCATCCCAGGTTCATTTGTTTCATTTATTATTACGAAATAAAAGAATAAAAATCTTTACATGTAATTTGGTCATGGTTAAATTTCAAAGATAATTATGATGAGTTGGCCTTTATTTTATTCGCATTCTTTTTTAGAGTAGGAAATCACGACATTTACTGTCTACAGTAGATATGAAAACAGTGCAATAGATACATTTTGAAGCATCCTTAATTTCTAACCAAATGAATGTGAATTAACCAAAAAAGTAACACATTAAGCTCACTACGGGAGATTATGGAGAGAGGGTGCGTGTGTGTGTGTGTGTGTGTGTGTGTATGTGTGTGAATGGCGAAGATAGAGAGAGAGAGAGAGACACACACACACACACACACACATACAGAAAAACCAACGGGGGGGAGAGAGAGAGAGAGAGAGAGTAACAGAGGGGAGGGGAGGAGGGCGGGAGGGGTGATATGATTCAACTACACAACATAAATAAATGAGATGGTGAGATAAGGAAAATGCTATTCCAAAGATCTTTTGGCCGTATCGTCTTGAAATCTAAAAACAGACATCAAAAGAAAAGAAATGGTCCAATTTCTCGAGGAGAGAGTGGGTGATTTGTAATGATAATCCTTGAAAAGGTTTTGGGCATTAAAGGAGATTCGATGAAGATGTGCCGGGAATCTCAATAAAGAGAGTGATTCTGTCTCTTTGTTTCTATTTCTTCATCTATCTCTGTCTCAGTGTCACTCTCACTTTGTATGTCCGCCCCCTCTCTGTGTCTGTCTGT